ATTATGGTGCCTTTTTAAAATGAATGGCGGTTCTTTTGTTGTGATAAAACATATCAATATGCATGTTTACTGTGCATTACCTATATATATATATATATATATATATATATATATATATATATATATAGATAGATAGATGTATAGATAGAGAGAGTGCTTTCTTTGGATGTCAATTAATGTAATGACACTTGGTATCAGCAGAGTCTTGAACTCTTCCTATCTAGAATTATATAAGACATAAATTTCATATTTCATGAAACTTATAAATGATCTATGCTGTGCTCTGACCAAACGGATGTCTTTCCTGGAATATCTTCCTGCTGCTGATGCTTGTTAGAAATGTCACTACCATGGGTTGTCAGCAAATCAAAAATGTTTGGCTAAAAATGTAACAGTTCACCGCCAGCTTTTGCCCTTGTTCAGCTAAGTCACAAGAGCCATGGATAACCTAACCCTCTTTCTATAAAAGGGTGGGTACCTAGCAAAAGTGTAGGTGAGATTCACAAATAACAACCCACATGGTATTTTTAGATATATTTTATGCTTTGCTGAGGCTACAATGCCAAAGTTGAATTTATTTCTGGGTGCACAATAGCCTGCACGTTGAGAGCCATGCTTTGCATTAGTTTAAGTGCTTTTCCACACCTAGTAAACTCCCAGCAACACCTAATGCCACCCATCATCTCCTGTGTATTTTTGGAGGAAATCTTCTGCACTCCCTGTAGCACATCTATAACCTACAGGCTGTCACCTCTCATCATTTCTTCAATCTCTTCAATGACCCTGTAAGCTAATTCCCAAATAAACCAATGAAATGATTTTCCCATGTATCTGAAAAGATTATTTTATGAGATGCAACTCTGGTATGTATAATATACTGAAATTCTATAGGCTGTATACAGTATCTTTTGTTCTTGTGTGTAATGACCACAGTACAGACCTTTATTATACTGTATAGGTAATCGCAGTGAGGATTTATAGATAAAGTAAAATTTACAAACAATGGTTTTGATTAACATTGTCAGGCTGTATCTGAACTCCAAAATAGCACTAGTACTCTAGTAAGGATTAGTGGAAAGTATCATGAGCACCATGTGCACCAACTGGCTGAGTACCATAGGGGGCCCTGGCACTTAGGTGACTCCTTCAAGGATCTGGTTTTTATGATGTTTATCCTACTCCATAGAAACATACATCAGATCCTTTTTACTTTCCGTCTATTCTAGAATTATGGTAGTAGCACCACGTGTATAGCAGAACGTGTTTGCCTATAAAAGTCCAAATCCTATGTCCAGTCCTAGGTTACTGTAATCTACCAGTCATAATCACTTTATACCCACCAACCAATTTTGCATTGGGAGAAAAAAACGGGGCACTCAGAGAAACCCACATAACGTGTCTAGGCAGACAGCACCTCTTTAGAGATAAAAATCAGGACCTCACAACACAAGTTAGCTGTATTAACCACTGAACACTGTGCTGCCCATCCAGACATGCTGGGGTTTATTTACTAAAGATGAAGAGTCCAAAATCAGACTCCCTTCTGCATAGAAACCAATCAGCTTCTAACCTCAGCTTGTTCAATGAAGCTTTGGCAATGAAACCTGGAAGCTGATTGGTTTCTATGCAGAAGGGAGTCTGATTTTGGACTCTCCAGCTTTAGTAAATAAACCCCGCTATGTCTCTTCTGCAATAAAAATTACCTGCCTGTTTGCAATGCATACACAGCTTAGTGTGTGTTCTTGGCACACCTTGGTGCCATGAAGAACGAACTCTCATGGACATGCATGGGTTTTACGTCATTCCTCCTCCAACCAATCAAGATGGTCAAAGATCTGACACCCAGAAAAAGTCAGGGAGAAGACGTCAAAACCAGCGAGGGAACTCGTGGATGTTGCATCATTGGATTGGCTGATGGTATGTAATCGGTCATGATGATCCCTGAAGCAGAGTAAGAGGAAAAGGTGTCAGGCACTACATTGTCAGTGAATCTGTCATGCCAACCATACACATATTAACATTCAAACATTTGTTTGTATTTCTGAATAATGATTCAATGATTCCATCACTGCCACAAATTCAGTTTGAATTATTATAATACAAAACAATTCAATACAGACAACTGGAGAGTGCAAAATCTGGTCCAAGTGTGCTGGTAGCCAATTAGCTTGTTCAACTTAAAATCAGGAAATATAAATGACCATTTACCAGCAAAAGAAAGTCCATTTTGTACTAAATAACAAGGTATAATCGACCGCGATAAACAAAGTTGTTATGATGATATGTACAGTTACAGAATTGTGTTCAGGCATTAAGGGGTTACATATTTAACTTTTGGTAGTTGGCCAAGACCTGTCAGGGTCATGTGACCTAGCTGTTTCTTTTAAATCCAGGTTTGACCAGCAGTCTGATCAGCCCTTGTGTGTGAGTGGTGGAGAGCAGACACACAAGGAGCCATCTCGTGAGTGTACTTAACCTTCCTGGCAGATATCCTGAGTGTGGCTCGTGGTTAATTTACAGTACCAAAAGCGGTAACCCCGAGTCACACTCAAGTTTACTCTATAGTGCTTCTCCTGCGATCCCGCGATGTCCTCCCACTGATGCCAGCATCTGTCTCTCGGGTTCCGTTCCCTGCAAGCGTCGGGACGTAGGGTTGTGGAACCGGCGGGAGATTCAAAAAAGTTAAAATATGACATACACACAATACACTGTAATATGTTAGTATTACATGACTGTATCAAACCATTTCACCTAAATTTTGACCCTAGTGTTTTGTCCAGTGCACTGCCTGCACTTTTACCATTCTGTCTGGAAACTTGAGAATATCCATGGCATCCAAAAAGCATCCCTTTAGATCAAAAGCGGTTTTAGACCAGCTAGAAAACAGCGATAGTGAATTAGAATCACTTGCAGAATTGAGCAATAGTGATTCGTGGGGAAATTCGTCATCAGACACGGAAAACGATTCTGCGACTGAGCTCAGTGATGTGCGAACTTTCAAATTTCAGAGTTTTTGGTTTGATTACATTATTGAATTAAATTTCTTATTATATTATTATTTTTATAATAATTTATTATATTATAATTTATGATTTCGGGTTTCAAACTTTATCATACCTGGGATGTTTACTAGACTCTTGTTTGATTTATTCCTAAGAATTACAGGTCTACAATAAAAAAACAACAAATTTCCATGCAAAACAATGTACCGCTTTGACATTCAAAAATATTGATTAGTTAGACCGCCAGGAAGGTTCGGATCCTTTTTGTTGTTTCAGATTTCGATATACCTTGCCTATATTTTTTGGATTTTCTCTATTTCCCTCAATAGTTAACATCTCAGGAGGGAAATTAGTGGGTTGTTTGAGGGGTGAAAACCAGCCTTTATGGGCTGTAGCCCAGATTTCACAGCCCCAAATTCGTTATACACTATTAACATCAGTCTTATATAACCAACTAGACATGGCCATGGAGTGGCCTGAAGTTGAAAATGATTTCCATGGTTTCTCAGAATTTGACCCAGTGAACAATGACAGCGACTGCGAAATGATATCTGAGCTTATGAACTACCATGAATCTGAGTTTGCTCAGGCCAATAAAGAAATAATTAATTGGTTTCAGAGCATTCCCTCTAACTCAGAAGGAGATAAGAACACCAAGGTGGAGGAGAAAACCATCAAACACTCTCCACAGCCCAGCCCAACAAACACCGTGCTGGAGCTACCTCCTACCCAATCTTCTTTTCCATCTGCAGCATCTGACCCGCTGAACAACGATTGGGTAGTGAGTATCATCTCTGAGAATTATTCAGAGGAGCAGCGGGTCCCAACCATCCAAGAATCATCTGATTGGATGGATAGCTTCATTGCTGGCCTGGTAGGAGACAAAATCAACCATCAATCTCCACAGCCCAGCCCAGCAAACCAGCATCTAGCAGCAAACACAGTGCTGGAGCTACCACCTGCCCAGTAATATTTTGCAGCTGCACAGTGTGACCCTGTGAACAATGACAGGGTCTGGGACATCATTTCTGAGCCTGTGAATGGCTGTGAGTCAACTAGCCAGACAGCAAGCTCAGAAAAGGAGCAGGTCCCAGCCACCCATGAAATAAGGGGTTGGATAGATAACTTCTTCTCTGATGTGGCAGGAGATAGGGACATGGCCAATGTGGAAAACAACAACCGACCTCCACAGCCAGCCCAGCAAACCATCATCTAACACCAAACATATTGCTGGAGCCACCTCCTGCCAGACATCACAATATAACATCAGATAGCAAAAATATCCAACACACATCCCTGAGCATTCATCCATCAAAAGCAGGTATGTAAATTTCAGCATTTATTATTACAAGTCTTTAGCTCTAAATTTAGTGACATGCAGAGTTTCCTAGGTAAATGCAGGCTAACTCCAGGACCAGCCAGTTCCAACTGCCATTTACCATCATTCACCACTTACAGCCCTTTCCACAAGGGGCGGTCTCCTCTAGGAGTCCGCTTCCTCAGCAGGGGATCTGTCTGCTGATCCCCGCAGAGCAGGTGGATGGCTGGTCCATGTCCGCTACGCTTATGCACAGTGGACACAGACACAAGCTGCCCTCCTCTATGGGCGGTCGGATGTAAACAAACCGCGCTGCCTGTTTATACCAGACTGCCATCTGATCCGATTCGCTAGATGGAAAGGGAGCTGATCTCCTTCTGTCTGTTTTTTTAGCATGACACATGTTCCCTAGGACACAAAATGTGTTATTGGTTTGATCAAAAGATAAAAATAAAAGAAGGCCAGCGGAAAGGAACTAATGCAGTCTCTACATCTAAGGATTGGAAAACTGCAAAACATATATTTTTATTTTTAGCTTTAGATACACTTTAGGTATTCCTACCTTTATAACACAGTGTGAAAAATTGTGACTGCCCCAGGTTTAACTCAGTTCTTCTTTTTTTCTAGGACTATCTGATGTGGCTTTCTCTAAGAACAAGAAAGGACGTGTGAAACGCCCAATGAACGCCTACATGATCTGGTCCCGAATTCACCGTTCTGAAACAAGCCCATCCTGGCACCCCATTTTCCATCATAAGTGGCAGGCTTGGAGAGGAGTGGAACAAACTGACGGTGGAGCAGCAACAGCCCTATTATGATGAGGCGGAGCGGCTTAAAAGAAAACATGCTGAAGAATATCCAAGTATGTAGTCCAGACACAATTCTTAGGCTCCATGTGCATGAGCCTACCCTGACTGCCGGCCGCGGAAAACCGCAAACCACAGCACTGCGATTTTGCCGCGGTTTTGCATTTTACCACGGTCGGTGGACTAAACCTTCCTATCCTGAACGTTAAGGAGAGGGAGGTTTAACCTCACCTAAACACGGCAGCTCCTAAACTCTGTTAAAAGCCTATATGTACATGGACACATAGACTTTTATAGAGTTGAGTTTAGGACCTTAGGCCAAAAAATTGCAAAAGCCCCTAAACTCGAGTTTAGCAGATGCTCGTTTACATGAAGCCTTAGTCCTCAAGGCCCTAAGCCCCTTATTACAGGTTTCATATTCCTATGGATTGAAACTAATTTTACAATTAATACAGAAAAGTCAATTAATTTATCTGATGGATTGGCCCCTGCATGACATACAGTGGGGCAAAAAAGTATTTAGTCAGCCACCAATTGTGCAAGTTCTCCCACTTAAAAAGATGAGAGAGGCCTGTAATTGGCATCATAGGTAGACCTCAACTATGAGAGACAAAATGAGAAAAAAAAATCCAGACAATCACGTTGGCTGATTTGGAAAGAATTTATTTGCAAATTATGGTGGAAAATAAGTATTTGGTCACCTACAAACAAGCAAGATTTCTGGCTCTCACAGACCTGTACCTTCTTCTTTAAGAGGCTCCTCTGTCCTCCACTCATTACCTGTATCAATGGCACCTGTTTGAACTTGTTATCAGTATAAAAGACACCTGTCCACAACCTCAAACAGTCACACTCCAAACTCCACTATGGTGAAGACCAAAGAGCTGTCGATGGACACCAGAAACAAAATTGTAGACCTGCACCAGGCTGGGAAGACTGAATCTGCAATAGGCAAGCAGCTTGGTGTGAACAAATCAACTGTGGGAGCAATAATTAGAAAATGGAAGACATACAAGACCACTCATAAGCTCCCTCGATCTGGGGCTCCACGCAAGATCTCACCCCGTGGGGTCAAAATGATCACAAGAATGGTGAGCAAAAATCCCAGGACCACACTGGGGGACCTAGTGGATGACCTGCAGAAAACTGGGACCAACGTAACAAAGGCTACCATCAGTAACACACTACGCCGCCAGGGACTCAGATCCTGCAGTGCCAGACGTGTCCCCCTGCTTACGCCAGTACATGTCCGGGTCCGTCTGAAGTTTGCTAGAGAGCATTTGGATGATCCAGAAGAGGATTGGGAGAATGTCATATGGTCAGATGAAACCTAAATAGAACTGTTTGGTAGAAACACAACTCATCATGTTTGGAGGAGAGAGAATGCTTAGTTGCATCCAAAGAACACCATACCTACTGTGAAGCATGGGGGTGGCAACATCATGCTTTGGGGCTGTTTCTCCGCAAAGGGATCAGGACGACCGATCCATGTACAGGACAGAATGAATGGGGCCATGTATCGTGAGATTTTGAGTGCAAACCTCCTTCCATCAGCAAGGGCATTGAAGATGAAACGTGGCTGGGTCTTCCAACATGACAATGATCCCAAACATACCGCCCGGGCAATGAAGGAGTGGCTTCGTAAGAAGCATTTCAAGGTCCTGGAGTGGCCTAGCCAGTCTCCAGATCTCAACCCCATAGAAAACCTTTGGAGGGAGTTGACAGTCCGTGTTGCCCAGCGACAGCCCCAAAACATCACTGCTCTAGAGGAGATCTGCATGGAGGAATGGGCCAACATACCAGCAACAGTGTGTGTCAACCTTGTGAAGACTTACAGGAAATGTTTGATCTCCGTCATTGCCAACAAAGGATATATAACAAAGTATTGAGATGAACTTTTGATATTGACCAAATACTTATTTTCCACCATAATTTGCAAATAAATTCTTTCCAAATCAGCCAATGTGATTGTCTGGATTTTTTTTTCTCATTTTGTCTCTCATAGCTGAGGTCTACCTATGATGCCAATTACAGGCCTCTCTCATCTTTTTAAGTGGGAGAACTTGCACAATTGGTGGCTGACTAAATACTTTTTTGCCCCACTGTATTACATATCCAAATGCTGAAATGGAATATAATAGCATAGTGCAATGCTGACACTTTTGTACAATTATTTGTATGGTTCACTATGCAATTTGTAAATTTCCCTCTCTGATTAACTAACAAAGAAGAAAATGCATCTTAAAGCAAATACTTACCTAAAACACATTTTACTGCTTTTATAGTAGTATCTATTTACCTGAGGGGTATTTACGAGTTCCAGATGGGAAGATCTCCCCCCTATGCTGGCAGAGCTATAAGGCTATGTTTACACCTTTGGCTGGGGTCAGTAAAAACACACAGCTGAGCTGCATTTTTACTGCCTCCCTAAGCTGCAAAGGCAGCAGCTGTACACATGTTGGGAGTCTTGTTTTTTATGGGCTAAAACAAGTGGTAGAGAATCAACAAAATGCCTCTTTCCGATGCAAACATCCTCTGAAAAGAGTTCCACCGTTGTCAAATGAGTCTTCTATACTTATCTATTGAGAATTCACTGTTGAGATAAAGATTTTATGTGCTCTGCACCCTCTAGATATATATGGAGGAGAGGTCTCTTCTGCCAGAGACACAAAAGGCCTAACTGAAAAGCACTACAGTTTTACGAAGCTGGGAAAACACAATGTGGAATCCAAACCTGCTTCATTCTACACAAACCAGAAAAGAAAGTGTTTTCTAATTATGTCTACTTTAAATGTGTACATACATGTAGCCAGTATAGCTGTAGATTGAGCCATGTTAGTACCAATCTGCAATTTACTTCCTACACGCATCCTCCAATGTGCATTGTACAAGAATCCCAAATCTATTGATCTTCACATCTGCAGATGTAGGTGTTACCCAAGATAACTGATAGTCATGAGTATTGGAAAATCCCAATTCATCTGTACAAAGTACAATGCAAATCCAATCTGTAGGGTGTACTTTTAGTTGATTTTTACTAAAATAAATAGGCTGTGCACTCCAAGTGCACTGAAAATATAGTTGCTCAAAATCTGAGGGGAACATGCAAGAAAATAAAAAAAAAAAAATAATTTTCTCTTGCACATGATTGGATGAAAGAAATCAGCAGAGCCTCATTTCCGAGCTTCCCTTGGACCTAAAGCAACTGCACTTGCAGTGCACAGTATATTTACCTTTAGTAAATCAACCCCATTGTGTCTGACTGATAATTGATGATTCTGCTTTTCCACACCAGTTTTTTTTCTCCATCTGTCTTATACACTATAATAACATTTTGCCTCTTTCTTTAGATTGGGAATATCATCCTGATATTAAGAGAAGGAAAACATCCTCTTCAGTACGAGACACCAATACCAATTCTCACAGAGATCCACCTGATTCTTCAGCTAATTTTGTGCTGCCAAATTTGCCATCATATTCAGGGATGGTTCAACTCCTCCAAACAACAGGTAAGCCTTGAGTGCACTGAATGAATGTAGCCTGACACTACCAGTTGTAACCATAGATTCACACTTATGCAGGTTTGCGGCCCACATTTGCGTGGGGCACAGCAGACCATTCATTTGAATGGGCTGCTATGGCTGCGTTTCCTGCAAAAAAAGGTGCTGGCACCATTGTAAAAGCGAGGTCGCTGGGAAATCACATGGTGCTATTGCACCATGTGATTTCCTGTGGTTTCCTCACCCTCAAACATCCTGTGGGTGGAGATGCATGGGGGTGCCATTAAGAATGAATGGTAGCCCCACATGTCTCTACAGAGCAACACATTTTGGCTGCAGGTGGTTGCAGGTTTGGACATTTTTGTTGTAAGGGCCTTAGCCAGTTAAAAAAGAAAATCAAAAGGCTGCAATGTTTTCCATGCTGGACTTCTTTTTCACCAAAGGATGTGTTCATTCTTCTGGGTTTTATGATGTCTAGTGTCATTTAAGCCTAGGGTCACATACAGTATATATGCTATGGCAAACACAGCGAATCCTATGCATTTCCTGCACCACATCCAAATTGCACTGTGCTCATGCGTTCTGCTGTGGGTGTCAATGTTAGGTTAATGACACCCCAAAAACAGGTAAAAAAACAGTGTGATTGCCTAACTCGGATCGCATGGGTGTTCACTCCCATGCAATCCGAATCCAATATGGCAAAAAAAGAAGCTATCTACAGGCGCGGTATAATTTGAGCCCATACAAAATAAATGAGCTCAAAATGCAGTGCAAAGAATTGCATGTAATTTGATCAGTAATGCGGTTCAATTCCTGTCCGAATCACATGCAGTCTCCCGCACTGTTAATGTGGGAATCCGGTGTAACTCAGAATGCTGAACATACTATGAAATTTGGAAAGGAGGGACATGGCCATGTTTGTTAATAATATAATATAATTATGCAGAGTGTATTTTGTTCTGCCTAGTACTGGAGAAGTTTGGGAGAAAAAGAAAAAGCTGCATGTCACATCAGAAGACTTCATAAAAAGTATACTAAAAAATACGGACAGCTTTTGGGAAGCCAGGAGGGGAGGGGTGCACACCCGGTGGGGAAGGCCTGAGGTTAGTCTTTAAGCCCCACAGTGCATTTAAGTTCTGCTGATGGTAAAATAGTCGACTGGGTGCCCCATACATGTTACATACTGGGTATAAAAACATATTTCCAATTAAATGGGGAAGGCAATATAATAATTATATTCTGTTATTTTCTGTATGACTGCAATTGTTCTTATGTCTAACTTGTTTAATTTGTTCTCTTGTAGAATACATTTTACAACCAGTCATGTCATCCCCCTGCAATACCATCAACTAGCAATGCCAACATCCTGCAAAACCATCATGTTATTAAGACCTACAACATGTAAACAGCCATCTTTTACTTGGCATCTAGGACCTTCAACAGAGGTAATGAATTCAGGAATATCTAGTTAATTAAAATTTCTTCCAATCGAATCTCATTGTTGTGCTATGA